ACACACACACACACACACACACACACACACACACACACACATAAGAGAGAAAAGGAGAGAAAGACACACACACACACACAGCATGTGTGGAGCCTCCTAAAGTGTTGGGATTCCAGGTGTGAGCCCCAGGCCCAGCGTCTGCATGTTTCTTGACTGCGTTCACTATTTGAGTAACACCATGGAAATCCAAACCTCAGCATCATGCAATATATCTGTGTAACAAACCTGCGCATGTACCCCTTGAATGTAAAATAAAAGTTTTTATTTTATTGTTATTATTATTATTTTGAGACTTTTCGCTTTCTTTTTTGAGACGGAATTTCACTCTTGTCGCCCAGGCTGTAGTGCAGCGGCATGATCTCGGCTCACTGCAACCTCTGCCTCCCAGATTCAAGTGATTCTCCCACCTCAGCCTCCTGAATAGCTGGGCTTACAGGCGCCCACCACCACACCTGGCTAATTTTTTGTATTTTTAGTAGAGACGGGGTTTCACCATGTTGGCCAGGCTGGTCTCGAACTCCTGACCTCAAATGCTGTCCCCGCCTTGGCCTCCCAATGTGCTGGGATTACAGACCTGAGCCCCTGTACCCGGCTAATTTTTTATTTTACTTTTAGTAGAGACAGGGTTTCACCAGGTTGGCCAGGCTGGTCTTAAACTCCTGACTTCAGGTGATCCGCCTGCCTCAGCCTCCTAAAGTGTTGGGATGCCAGGTGTGAGCCCCAGGCCCAGCCTCTGCATGTTTTTCGGCTCCATCATTGTCTCGAGGCTGGACCACGTGAGTCAGGGAGGCAGTCAGGTTACAAAGAATCAGAAGCAGAGACTCAGGGAAAGACAAGCTCAGAGAGAAACAGCATCGGTAAGTGGAAAATGTGGGGAGACGGGGACAGAAACAAGGACGAAAACAGCCCTTCCCACCCCAACACTCACTTCATCCTGGTCCCTCATAGCATTGAGCTGCTCCAGCTTCTTGGCCCAGTAACGAGCCTCTTCTTCCGGAATGTCTGCAAGCAGAGCCCCGTCTGTGAGCCTGGAAGCCCCTCCCTGCCCCTCAGCCTCCATCCTCCAGGCTTCCTGAGCTCCAGCCAGGCCCTGGCTTCTGGGGTCTTTGGCAAACCCTCAGAAGTGGGGGTGGGCTGATCTGCGGTCCCAGGAGGGTAGAGGGAGATGAAGGGGAGGTACCGTGGTGCCTCTGCCTCCCGCCTCCCCAGAGATGGATGGAGAACAGTTGGAGGATGAGAGGAGATGGTTCCTGGCATTTACAAGGGTGGGGAAGACATTGTTTTTATTATTTATCTATTTAATTGTTTTTTGAGATGGGGCCTTGCTCTGTTGCCCAGGCTGGAGTGCAGTGGGGCGATCTCAGCTCACTGCAACCTCCACCTCCCAGGTTCAAGTGATTTTCCTGCCTCAGCCTCCGAGTAGCTGGGATTACAGGCGCCCGCCACCATGCCTGGCTAATTTTTTGTAATTTTTAGTAGAGATGGGGTTTCACCATGTTGGCCAGGCTGGTCTTGAACTCCAAACATCAGGTAATCCTTCTGCCTCGGCCTCCCAAAGTGCTGGGATTACAGGCTTGAGCCACCACGCCCAGCACATTGTCTTTATTTTTTAGAGTCAGGGTCTCACTCTGTCACCTAGGCTGGAGTGCAGTGGCGCAATCACAGCTCACTGCAGCCTCATACTTCCAGGCTCAAGCGATCCTCCCCCCTCAGCCTCCTGAACAGCTGGGACTACCGGAACCTGACACCATGGCTGGTGAATCTTGAACTTTTTCATAGAGATGGGAAGTCACCAGATCACCCAGGCTGGTCTCAAACTCCTGGCCTCCAGTGATCCTCCCGCCTCGTCCTCCCAAAGTGCTGGGATTACAGGCATGAGACACTGAGCCTGGCCAGTGTCACGGTCCGCACACAGCAGCTTCACAGCAATTGTGGGAAGTAGAAAAGCTTCCTTTTTAAACTTTCCTTTCTTGTTAAAGAATAAATCATAAGCGTGCTAATAGCTTTGTTAAGCCCTATCCTGTGTGGCTGTTAAACATGCCTACAGGCACATAGTACATTCTATGTCCTTGTACTTTAACCAAGATCTCTGTGCTGGACGTGCTCCAGGCATGTCCCAGCTCTCCACTGCTTTTAGAAAAGTTTTAAGTCGTTAGCCAATCAGGTTTTAGTTTAGACTGTGAGGTCTGGCTCCAGCCAATGAAGATCAGACACAGCAGTAAGGACACCCCCGAATGCGTAAGGAATAAATTAGCGTGTTTTCCTTTGTTCATTGTACTCTCGTGGCACGATGGCTAGCGAGGGTACCCTTCCTGCAGTCCAGGAAGTAAAAATTGTGTTGCGGAAAGATCCTTTGTCTCAGTGCTGATTTTTCTTTCCGGCACCAAGCGTCTATTTCCAACACCCCTGTTCTCTGTAACCCAAGAAACTCTCTCTCCTCTGGGGCGAAGGACCCTCATTCTTAGCCTGAAGGGTCAGCTAGACCTCTCCAGGCCTGTTCACTCTCCTGGAATAGCTGAGTGAGTCCAGAAGTGGGGCCGGGGCTGGGTGAAGGTCACATGCCCCGGTACTCACCTAAAGGCAGCTCAAAGCGCGTGTCCAGGAGGATGCGGTGGAAAGTGGGGTCCTTGGTGCCGCAGATCTCGCTGTCTGCCATGATGACCTGGGAGTCCAGCGTCAGCCACTCTCCGGGGCCCTCCTGGGGTCGGGAAGCAGGTGTGTGGTCAGGGGTCTGCTGCATGCTGGGCCCCGGGGCCCCTACTCTCACATGAGACATCCACCCCACCCCTACCCCAAAACAAAAGTCATGTCTCATGTCTCCTCTCTCTTTCCTCCCTTCCTTCCTGTCTCTCTCTCTTTCCTCCTTTCCTCCCTCCCTCCCTCCCACCTTCCTTCCTTCCCTTCTTTTTTTTTTT